GTCAGAGTTTAAGAGGTTAAATGTAAAGAAGTTTAGTCAGAGTTTAAAAGGTTAAGTAAAGACGTTTATTCAGAGTTTAAGAGGTTAAACGTAAACAGATATTGAAACCTTGACGCTCTCAGCGAGGCGTTTGGACATGTCTGAGGACAGCTGGTATCGGATCATCGGACATTTCTTCAGAGCGAGTAGGACGGAGGTCAGACCCTGAGTACACCGGGACAACATGGAGGGCTCCCAGCTCCGCCCCTAAAGGTACAAGTACATCAAGATATACATCAATATATATTAACATGGAGGGCTCCCAGCTCCGCCCCTAAAGGTACAAATACATCAATATATACAGTATATATATATATTTAAAGAGACAGAACGGTTTCTCACCCTGGCGACTCCCTGCAGGTTGAGGGAGAACAGGTGAGGATTCACAGCAATGAAGTCTCCATAAAACTCCTGCAGACACACACACACACACACACACACACACACGTTTAACTCCATAGCATCCTAAATATTTTTGATAAACAATTGTGTTTATTTCGCTGTAGAAGGAACAGAGACGCCCCCTGCTGGTGAGGAACTACAGGTGTGTGCGTGTTGTGCTGCTGGACTACAGGTAGGACCTGAGACTCACCTGGACCTCAGCCACCACTTCCTGTTCATCAGCCTCAGCCAGAGCTTTGATCTCACTCTTACTGATCACGTTACTGAAGTCTGAAACACAAAATAAAACATTAAATATCATATTTAAACACCACTACAGCTGCAGCACAACAATTGTTTTATTCAGCCTATATTTGTTTACATTTAATCAGATATTCTGCAGGTAAAGTATGCAGAAGTATTTATTATCAGCTGCTGTTTACAGTGAACTCATAAATATAAAGATCTCTGGATTAATGTGAGACTGAAGAAAACCTCAAACATGAAGATTCTCAGTGTTCTGTGATTTAAGGACTTGTATTGTGAAACCTTCTGGTTCACCATCAGTGTTTAAATACTTTTAATGTG